AATATGGCTTAATAATACTCTTTCACAGCAAGTTGTTTGGGTAATGCTGAGACTGCCATTTTTAGTAGTATACTTGGAAAGACACTATAATTCATTAGCTTTAACCTCTGAAAGATTACTGATACTTTTAACTTCTGTTAAAATATTTTGGGTAGTAGATATCCTGTGGAAAGCAGAAAAATTTTATAGTGAGTTCTTGTTAGTTTGTGTAGGGTATGTTCCCATGCAGGAAACCTATCAAATGTTCCTATAAATAGTACTTAGTTACAGAGCACAATCAATTTCAAATAATCTTTCTAGCACTGTTTGATGAGCATTGCCATATCCAATCTTCACATTACCCCAACATCTGAAAGCTGTCACTGACATAGAACATTTTTATAGAATGGTTAAAATGAGGTTCATGTAGGCTAAAGCTTGCCCAACATACTAAGGTAGTCGGGAACTAATTCTCTCTCAATAAAGAGAGAGACATCAAGGAGTTTCCTAGTGTGAGTGATGAAGATCTAACAAATGCACTAAGATAGGCTGTCCCAGCCCTGACAGTTGTTGAAATAATTACATCTATTGGGACTAAGACAGACTCTGTGTGCAATAGAGACTAACAAAACTTAACTGCAACAGATTCTTCCCATGTCTTTCCCAAGTCCATACCAGGCATTCCTTTCATAGTACCCAGCCTTAGACTTTCAATTTCACCCAACACTATTTCTGGGAGTTTGGCTTTATGTGTTAATCTCCAGTCCAGTAGAAATTGACTTGGGCTTATTACATTTGCTAGAAACAGGCATTCGAGTTGCTGAATGTAGGTAACGTCATACTGAAGGAGTAAGTTGGTGATGCTATTAATATTGTATGTATTTCAGGGAATTTTCATGAAAAGTACTTCTAAGAGATGCTGAGGGAAACATACATGGGTCTGCCTAGGAAGGGGAAATAGGTAAGAGCATGGGAGGGAGAGGAGAGTGGAAGGAGAGAGGAAGAGAAAGGGAAGGGGAGAACATGAGGGAATGAACAGGATGGTCAACTTGGGGAAAGTACAGAGAGGGAGAGCAAGGAAAGACATATCTTGACAGAGGGAGCCATTATGGGATTAGTGAGAAACCTGGCACTAGGAAAATTCTCAGGAATACATAAGGATACCTCCAGATAAAACTAAGCAATAGTGGAGAGGGTGCCTGAGCTTGCCTTCCCCTGTAATCAGATTGAGGATTACCTTAATTGTCAGTAACTGATGGAAGCAGATGCAGATTCACTGCTACGCACTGAACTACGCACTGAACCAAGCTCCTGGAGTCCAGTCGTAGAGAGGGAAGAGTATGAGCAAAGGAGTCAAGACTATGATAGGGAAACCCACAGACACAGATGACAAGAACTAGTGGGAGCTCACTGACTCTGGACTGACAGCTGGGGAATCTGCGTAGGACTAAATTAGGCCCCCTGAATGCAGGTGACAGTGGATAGCTTGGGCAGTTTGAGGGCCTACTGGCAGTGGGACCAGTATTTATATCAGGTGCATAAATGGGCTTTTGTAGACCATTTCCTATGGAGAGATACCTTACTCAGCCTTCACACAGTGGGGGTGGGGCTTGGTCCTGCTTCAATGTGATGATAGGACAGACTTCACTGACTCCACATGGGAGGCCTCACCCTCTCCGAGGAGCAAATGGGGGTAGGATAGGGAGAAGGATGGAGAATAGGAGGAGGGGAGGGAACGGAAACTGGGAATGGTATGTAAAATAAATAAAATACTACCTCTAAGGAAGGAACATTAAATAGCGGGAAAACAGAACTATAGGAGATGGTACATAATTTTGATTTGAATGTACATGACAATGCAGGGAAGCAGGTAAAATAATTTAGTTTCTAAGAGGCATGTGGGCAAGGAATACCATTAGTCTCTGCAACAGAGAAAGTAGTAAAAACCCAAAGGTGAGCTGGACTTGGTATTGTAGAGATCCCTTAGAGTCTTCAACTTCAGCCACCTAGAAAATGAAGATGGTTATATCCTGTCCCTTCTTTCTCTTCAGCTTAAAAAACAAATTGTCATATTTGTTTCAATTAGTATTAGAAAAGTCTGATCTTTGAATAAATGACTATGATGGTGAAATTATAATCACAAGAAATCCTTGCCATGAAAAAATAGGATGAGTTAATATAACTTCAAAAATATTTACTCACATTCATTCTGACTGACATGGTCATCATACCCCACATGTGTGGAGAAACCCAGACATTAAAAGAATGGATGGGCTATCCTGGGACTAGGGTTACAGAAGGTTGCATTTGTAGTGCCTTAGCCAACTTCCACTAGGATGGAAGATGTTTGAATGGCTGACTGAACAAAACATTTTATCACAGCTACTTCTACTCATTTTGTTGTTGTTCTTAAAGGTTATTGTCTTAAAAAATGGTTCTGGGAAATGAATCAATAATCACATGGAAAACTGACATTAATATCATGTAAACTAACCTCCTTTAAAATACAGCATGACAGGAATTGGGTTTAAATAAATGAACCACTAAGTCTGTTAAAGAATTTCATTTGAATGGGTGCCAGATGAAGCATTTATCTAAGTTATTTTTTTATCAATTAAAAACTTAGGAGTCATACATTGGAGTAAAAACATGATCAATCAAATTAAACAATAGAGAAGTTACCAGTGACCTCCTCTCTCTCCTCAAACCAAAAGGACCTACGAATCTTTCTAAGACCCTCTCTACCACTTCCTGTCTTTCTATATGTCCTGAGTCCTTGAAAACCTCCATGGCTAATCCTGGTCAGCTAGTTGCTAGTTCTGCCCTCGGATTTAAGGTAAACTTTATTGTCAGTCTTGGAAGTGTTAGAGTGAAATCAAAATATCCCACAACAATTTACAGTGTAGCCATGAACAGATTTGGGCTTTCGCTTCCTAGTTCGCCCTGGCCTACAACAAGAATGACCTTTATTCAACAGCAGAACACTGGTATAGGTTAAGATGTCTTGCTTTATTGGAAAACCTTGTTTGTCATTCTCATCACAGATTCAGACTACATAACCTGTCCACTCTTCACCCAGAGCTTCAACAGCTACATCTATGGCCATGCATTTATCATAGAAAGTACAATGTTTGTTTTCATTGTCTATTTTCATGAATTTCTGACAGCTGGAGGCTAGGAAGGAGATACTCAGCTTCATCTAGACAGGCCCAATGGCCTAGGAGGTGCCAGGACAAAAGCACTTTCTGGGGAGTGTAACTATAATATGTTGCAAACAGAAAATTAAAAGAGACAAGCCTTAATTTCTTCAGATTAATGTTGCATAATTTCCCTGGTTATATAATACATTGTCAACAAAAAGGTCTTAAAAATTTAACCAATATTCATCATTAAATTACTGGATAAAATTGTAGTAATTTAAAATTTAACAGCTGTTGAAAACAAAGTATTTACTGTGCTTCTCCTTACATAATGTGGTGATTAGAATGAGATAGGTCCCACATAAGCTCACATATTTGAAACTATGATCACCAGTTGGTTGTGTTGTTTGGGAAGGTTATGGTACAGATTACTGTGCAACTTGACAGGAAGAAATATGCCACCAGCGACAGGCATTGAGAGTGTATAGCCTTATCCCACTCCTAGGTTGCTCTGTGTGCTTCATATTTGCCATGGAAGATGTGATCTCTCATCTCTTGCTTTCAAGCCTCCCCTGCCTTGATGAACTCTTTCTTATCCGTAGCTATAAGCCAAAATAAACTCTTTCATCTCTAAGTTGCTTACTGCCACTGTGCTTAATCACAGCAACAGAAAAGTGACTAACATAGACATTGGTATTGGAGAGCGGGCAGTTGCAGACAGCAAAGCTGGAAAGGTTAAGCCATCCAAGTCCCAGATATCAGACATGGTGTTACAGGTTTAGTTTGTTCACCCCATGAGGTTTTAGTCTTTCCGAAATCCAGGATTTCCTTACTATGGTCCCTTTCCTCCCTTTAAAAATGGCAATGTTTATTTTGTCCCATTGTATGTTGGAACTATGTTATTTGCTTTTAGATTTTATAGGTGGCTACAGTTAAGATATTGCCTTGAGTCTTACAAGAGATGTTGGACTTTGGAATCTGAAATGGTGTTTGGACTGAGAAAGACTATGGTCACCTTTAAAGTTGAACTATGCACATTTTACATTATGATATGGCCACAAGCCTATGGGAGACAGTGAGAAGAATGTGGTGGCATGAATGAGAAGTGTTGTCCATGGGCTCATGCATCTGAATACTTGTTTCCCAGTTGGATGAGGTTTGGGGAAATTAGGGGAATGTGAAAATTTGCTGAACAAAGTATGCCACTGGGGTAGGTCTTGCGAGCTGTAAGCCCTGTCTCAGTTCTAGTCTCTTCTCTCTGCTTTGTGTTTGCTACTGAAGATGTGACAGCTCAGCTTCTTGTTCTTGCTGCTGTGCCTCCCCACCATGATGAACCCTCATCCCTCCAGAATCATAAACCAAAAGAACTCCTTCTTCAGCCACTTTTGGAGATGATGTTTTATCACAGCAATAGAAAAACAACTAGTGCACATAATGAAAAAAAACCCATAAATCATAGAAAATGAGGTGGGTGTGGTGGTATGCACCAAGACACCAAGGCTGAAGGATCAATGATTCCCATGCTGTCTCTAAAGTAATAATAGTAATAATAAACCTACAACAAAACTAAGCAAAATGGCTGGGTATATGACTCAAGAGATAAGAGCACTGGCTGCTATTCCAGAAGAGCTGGGTTCAAAATCCAGTATCTACATGTTGGCTCACAGCAGTCTGTAACTCTAGCTCTAGGAGATTGAATGTTCTCTTCTGGCCTCTGTGGCCACCAAGCACACAAGTAGTATACAGTTATACATGCAGGTAAAACCACCACACATTCAAAATAAAAATACTTTTTAAAAATCCCATTGAAACCAAAAGTCTACTTTATGATACTTAAAATATGATGGTTTGGGCTATGTAAACATATTAAATAAACATGCTTCTGTTTTTATTTTTACAAAATCACATTTCATCACAATGACTGAAAATTCCCTCCAATTAAAAAAAAAGCCTTTATTCTGACAAAATTACTTTACTTAGTAGTACTTTGATGCTAGATATTTGCTCTAATATTTGAGGAAGATGTATAAACAGAAAACTACTGCTAGCTTTGTCAAAGACATCTGCAAAAATATGTCCCATACACCTTTACACATAATATACAGAACTATAAAATCTGCCAATGTAGAAATTCCCCGGAATTTCTTAATGCACTGCAAAATACACAAGGCAAAAGAAAACATCATATATAAATAATGCTCAGTCTGTCATGTATGGTGATTTTTCTAGTTTTTATATATATATATATACACACACACAGATGTTTCAGACACACATTGAGGAAACAGAAGCACCAGTTGTTTAAGTTACACTTGATCACGAAGACGAGCAAGCCTCTGTGACAGCTCATCCTAGAGGAAGCCAAATTGACAAATCATCAAAGGCTGTGAGAAATATAAACCACTACAATTTTTAATCTTTTTAAATTTTAAATATAATTTAAAAACTTGTTTCTAAAACTTATATATAAACATTAGGTATTTAGTTGTCTTAAATATCTCAAAAGAAATTGAATCAAGTAGTATAGCAGATATGAAGGTTACTAAAACAATCTAAAAAACGAAGTGTGCATGCAAACTGAAAACGCCCACTATTACATAGATAGTAGTAGCTGTTTATGTTTTGTTCATTTTAATGATGTGTCATAGTAGAAAAATAATCTTTACAAAAAGTGAATATATTTCCTTATATACAAATATATATATATTTCATATAAAATATACATTTTTCAAATTATTAATTTAAATATGAATCAAGTATATGTATCAAAATAAAATTCAACCCCTACCTGCTCTGTAGAAGCAACACTTGCATCAACAGATCCTGTCTGACCCTGTGGAAGCTCCATATTGAGATCAAGGCTAAAGATTAATTTAAAAACAATCAGAATAAACAAATGTTAATATAGACATTTTATAATAATCAAATAGGTACTATAAACTTGAGTTCTATAACCTTTTATCACCTTAAATAAAAATATGAGCATGTTTACATGTGAATAGAAGTTGAATGTCTTCAAACTGATTTTGGATACTTGACTGATGATTTTGAAGTATTTTTTCTTGAGTTCAAATAGTGATCCATACAGGTGGTATATTGGAATAAAAAGTTAATTACAGACGGCAAAATGATCTACTGCACTAAATAGAAGACCAAAAAAAAATCATCATCTGTTGTACTCTATTTCCCGGATAGTATTTATCTCCTTCACTGTGAAGGCAAATTAATTGTTAAAAAAATTCAAAATAGTCAAAATAAATATAGCCTTAGGACACACATGTAATATTTGTGTTAACTTCCATTTTCATGTTCAGCTCCTGAATTCTCTTAGTAGAAACCAGGAATTTATTTCTTCTTCTTTTTGGAGTGTTTTCATGCTTTTCATTTTATTTATTTTAGATTTAGTTTTTTATGTTTTAAATCTTAAGTATAATTTTCGACTTATTGAAAAATAGATTCTTTTCTTATACAATATATCATTGTTATAGTTTCCTCTCCCTCCACTCCTCCCCCAGTCTTTCTCTCTCCCCAACCTCCCCCTCTCCTCTGGGTCCACTCCCTTTTTGTCTCTATTAGAAAAGAATAGGCTTCCAAGAGAACAAGAAAACATAACAAAATAAGATATAATAAGATAAAGTAAGAGCCGTCATATCAAGGCTAGACAAGGCAAACCAACAGAAGGAAAAAAGCCCTAAAAGGAGGTCCACTCATTCTCACACTTAGGAGTCTCATACAACTACTAAGCTGAGGCTATAATATATACGCAATGGACCTGGTGGACACACAGTAGGTTCTGTTCTTGCTGCTTCAGCCTCTGTGAGGTTATATAAGCGTTGCCCAGTCAATTCAGAGGGCCTTGAGAATTTCATCCAATTATACAACTGGGGTTCACTGTCTTAAGTATAATTTTCTGTTTATTGAAAATATTCTTTTCTGATACACTGTATCTTGAGTATACTTTTCCCTCCATTCATTCCTCCCAGTGAATGAGACAGCATCTGCATAGAACTAGATTTGTTTGTTTGCTTACCTCCAAGGTCCATGCCCTTAAATCTCTATTGCACTATTCCTTTAGAATATGAACTATTTATTCTGTCTCTAAAACAATGCATTCTGGTGTGAATACTCTACAAGAAAGACAGTAATTTTAAAAGTCATTATGATACTGGCAGATTTTGTTGGAAAGGTAAACATATACTAAAATTTTATTATGAGAATAGTTAACTCAAAAAAAACTAGACACCTAAACATCCTTAATAGTGGACATTAATGTTTACATATATCAGTGGCCATATGTATTCCTCTTGCTTTAGTTACTGAGTTAATTACTTTCTTTTATTGGTCTCATTTTCCCAAGGAATATATAACAATGTCTGGAGACATGCCTTAGCTGACACAACTGAGAGAAATGGTGCTACTGGCTTTTGGAGAGTAGAGGTCAGGATGCTGCTAACATCCTGCTTACAACAGATCCTAATATTAATCACTCCAAAATGTCAACACTGTTAAAGGTGAGAAATGGTGCTCTAGCCTCATATAAAGTTGCCTACTGATCTTTGTTTAATACAGACAGTAGGTAAGGACAGTTGGTAATGCTCATTGTATAATATCTATCACTATCTTTCCAAGTCCAAATCCCCTCACTTAGTCTTTTGGAAGGACAAAACCAAGTCCTTAGTCTTTTATTCCTAAGAGGGAGTCAGAGCCTTATAACAAACAGTGCAGAGTTTACTTTATGATAATAACAATAATTTAAAAAAAAAAAATCACCCTTTGTACTACCGCCCTCTGCTGGCCTGTGGACTTGTCACGATACTAATGAAGCAAAATGGTACACAACCTCCCAGCAAAGATTATTTTTAAGCACTGCAAACTTATTTAGCAATTATTACTATGGACATAATTTACTGATATGTCACTCTTCTAAAAAAATTCATAAATGTTACCCACTGTTCATTCTACTCACGAATTACTTCAGACACTAAGGTTTTCTCTTTCTTGAAGAAAAACATAAGCAGAATAGGTAAACCTTATTTTATCTTATTAAACTAGGTTTGAAAGAAAACTCTTAAGGCATTACCATAACTCAATTTCTAACATTTTATTTTTATTACTATGGTATTTATCTAAATATTACTACAGAGAACAGTGACAAAACATGATGTATGTAACAAAGATATCATGGTCAAGTTATTTCCCTAAATATGAAAAATCTGAAGTAATTTGTCCATTATCAGACACCAGACATAGCAATAACTGTGTGAAAAAGGGTGCTGATTACTTAAGGAAAACAAATGACCAGCTGCTATGTTTATATTTTGTATTTTGCCCAATTTATACATATTGTTCAGTTTGTAGGATTCACACTGGACTTATGAGTCAATGGCCTGACCACTGTCTTTCCCCCCAAATCTTTAGAAAATTTCTATACATTGACATATGCTGTGCATAGGAGACAGAAAATAAATGTATGGATATCCTTTTATCCTTTGATCATATCCATCTACTTCTTAATATCATACTCTGAATGGAACTGTCTCTAAGATTTTAAAGAATATGTTTTATAGTCTGAAAGGTCATGTTTTTGTGAGAATGCCTAGAAAAAGGAAAGCCATTGAAACACTCTATAAAGGGTCAAAAACAAAAGCTGAATAGTTTTAAAGATAATTTTTTCAATCCATAGCAAATTTCTAGTAGTGCTTATGCTTCAGTCCAGGACCTCTTATAAAGTATGCAAAAATCTTAGCCACACCTTAACTCCATATTATCAAATTTTGGAACCTGTAAATATCAAATCAAGATTATTCAAAAGCACTGGAATAGCAACACCTTACCCAGCTTCATCTGCCATTTCCTGAAGCAGCATATCCACTTGGTTCTGAAATTAAAAAAAAAAAAAAATACACAAATTCATAATTTTGTAGTATTACCTTTGGGGGTTGGTTTTGGGTATGGTTTGGCATGGGAACCTGATCTATAACTATAAAAATGGGGGCTAGAAAGAGATAGTCAGCAGTTCAGTTCCTAGTAACCATGGCCAGAGGCTCACACTGCCTTTAATTCTAATACCTAGGGGATATGATGCCTCTGTCCTCCACAGGCACATGTACTCACTAGTACAGGGTTGCCTCCTCCACACAATTATGGGTATAATAATAAATCTTAAAAAAAACAAAAAACAAAAAACAAAAAACACCCCCAAAAAACTCCTTGCCCTAAACCTTTTAAAGCAAACTTTAAAAATATTTTTCATGCCACAAGAGGGCGCTGAACTATCTCAGAGAACCATTTTCTGAATGTTAAGATTTAAGTCTAACACTGAAGTTATCTGAAAAATAGTGGCAGTCAGATTCACATACAATTTACATCTCTGAGTAATCTAACACTCTAAGGGAGTGACCTAAGTTAGAAATCCCATAATAATCCTTTTAGTTATGTGCAATAGATTTAAATTTAGCTTAGATTTATTATTCTGTAAATCAACATAAATAGAACATCAAAATGACTTTTTAGAAAGAAATATCATAGACAAAATATACCTAATGTATGTACCTATGGTGCAGAACCTTATGAGGCTTCAATTATGGACTTAACCAATTGCAGAATAAAAACATTCTGAGAAGAAATTGTTCCTGTAACTTATAGACTTTACCTTAATATCATTTCTATAACTCATAAAGCTATTTATATAGCACTTACATTGTATTAGACATTACATGTAATTAATGGCAATTTAAATTATATGAGAGGTATATATGCTATATAGAGACAATAGAACTATAAACAGGGAAATGAGTAACCTTGGGTTTTGATGTCTATAGAGATTGTAGAATTAATCTCATACACATTTCTGGTTATTTTGCTCTTGTTGCTGCTTTCTGGACACTGATTTGCTATGCAATTGTGGGTGGTCTATAATTCATGGAACTGCTTTCCAGCTTCCAAGTCCTAGGCTTACAGGTGCACACTATCATACCCAGTCCTATAGTGAAACATTTACTGTGGTATAAGAGTTCTCAAGAAATATGGTCTGTTTAATAATAAAAACTTTGAGCATTCAAGAAGAAATTCTAAAATGTGGCCTCAGTTCTACCAGTAACAAATGCATGGTTTAAAGCAAGAGACAAACCTTCCTGTTGGGAAGGTTCCTTTCTCTTGTATTTCCACCTGCTTCAGAACGTTTGCAAATGTAGAAAAGGTTCATAAAATAATAAAACACACAAACATGATTGTCTTTTTAAAACTCAATATCTAAAGTAGCAGTGGGTCCTGAAATTTAAATATTATATTGTATTATTCTATAGCTTACCTTCCTTAATCTTCTAAGATTTAATTTTATTGCTGTCTAGGGACATAGCCCATTCAAGATAATTATTTGCTGGACACTTGCAATATCTAAATATACTAAATTTAGCATATATACTCAATTTCTGGGCATTTGTGTTTTATTAATTTCCATCATAGACGATGGTTAAATATCCGTGTGTGTGTGTGTGTGTGTGTGTGTGTGTGAGAGAGAGAGAGAGAGAGAGAGAGAGAGAGAGAGAGAGAGAGAGAGAGAGAGAGAGACATGTTTGTTCACACACCAGGAACTTCTTAGTGTATAAACTTGGAAGTGGGAGTCCTGGGTTACAGGATATGTTTCTTCATTTACTCAGCTAGTGAAGGGAGGAGGCAAAGCACCTTGGCCTGAGTACTGACATTAGACTTTAGACTCCATTTACCTGCAGGGTGAAATCAATTTCAGGTTCTCAAGCCCTAGAGGAGCTGATAACTTCCCAATGACTGATCAACCTCTTCTCTAAACCATGCAAATAGTTGTTATGCATCTTTAGTTCTTTAAAACATTATGGCTGTTCGTAACCACAGAAGGAACAAATCAATCAGATTGGTTGGACTGAAACGCTTGCATTGTATGTCAGTTGACAATGACAGAACAGTCAAGCAAGCCCCTACTCTCTAAATCTAGATTGATAGAAATTGGCACCAAATGTTTGTGATCTTTCTGCTTATAAACCCCACTTCTGCCCTTGTTTGGGGCTGTCAGGGGAAACAAGGCTCCTAACTCCTTGTCCTGCAGCCCTGATTGATCAGTGACCTGCTTATGTGGTGATGTATATCTTTGGAACCCATAAGTGTTGTCTCTCTCCATCCTCATGGTGCATAACTGGCTAGGTGTAACACTATGTCTAATAATATTACAGAAGGTCAAAAGTTGCTAATATTATTGTACATGCTATTAAGTTGTTGATGAGAAACAGATTAATTCTACAAGAAGGCAGGAAGGAAATTAAAAAAAAAAGGAAAGCATTTTGTGCATTGCCTGTGTAAAGGTGTATATATGCTTTGTGAGGACATGGGTAGGGTAAAGCATGTGTACCTGTATACAAGTGTAAAGGCAGAGGAGGACATCAGGTGCTCTGTTGTATCTCTCTCCACCTTATTCACTTGAAACAGGGTTTTTTCATTGAACCTGTATGTAGACTGGAGGTCAGTATGCCCAAGGGATCTCTCCTGTCTCTGTCTACTGTAATCGATGGGTTATATGCATATTTCATGCCATGTCCAACTTTGTACACTGGCTCAGGGTACTTGAATTCAAATCCTCATGCTTGTATGACATGTGACCTTATATACTGAGCCATCTCCCTAAGCCCAGAAAACCTTTTTTAAAATTGCTGGATGATTTAATTGCAGTGCTATAAAATAGTTAAAAAGTAAAGATAGGGACAAGTTTTACATAGAGGAGGAGGAATAGGTATTATGTAGCACTCCTCAAAATTGTAATGGCTGTATTCACAGAATCGGAAAAAGAATCCTGAAATTCATATGAATGGATTTCAATAAAACTGCAAAACAATATATATAGTCAAATAAGTAAGGTATACAAAGATCATAGCTGGAAGGATAATAGCATCTGATTGCAAGAAATACTACTGAGACCTAGTAACCAAAGTAGTGTAAGGTATTGGCCTAAAAGAAAGAAACCAAAACCAATGGAACAGAATAGGCATATAGAAATAAACTCATGCAATTACTACATTAAAAAGATTTTTTGACAAAGGCACTGGAATTACACACTGGAGAAATGTTAGCTACTTCAATACATGATGCTAGGGAAGATGCATTCAAAATACAGAAACTTAACCTCCTTTCATGCTGTATGAAGTTCAACTCAAAGTGTAACAAAAACATAAATATAAGACATGAAACTTTGAGAGTACTTGAAAATATAGAAGAAATTCTTAAATATTTTAGGTATGACATCCAAAGCACAGAGAAATAGACACATAGGATTCCATCACACTGAAAATGTCTATATAGGAAAAAATGGCAGTGTTGAGACAGGAGAATAGGAGAAAACATTCATTGGCTGCTTATCCATACTAGAATATACCAGGAACTAAAAAAACAAAAAACAAAACACACACACACACACACCAAATAAAGCCAAATAAACCAAGTAAAATGGTCAATAGTTCTAAATAAGACATTTTTCAATAGAAGACATACAAATCTCAAATAGGCATATGAAAAACAAAAAAAAGTTCAATGTCACCAACCATGGTAAAACCAAATCAAAATCAGAATGAGGTATCATCACAACCCAAGTAAGAATGGCACATATCAAAAAAGAATTCTAAATACTGTTGTGGTTCAAAAGTAACTCCTTGAACAGATATTGTGAAAAATAGTAAGAAGGCCTCTCAAAAAATATATATAATGGGTTATTGTTTGAGACTGAACTATTCTAGGGAGACCTGAAAACATGGGACCATCACAATTCATAAATCCCAGAAACAATCTGTGAATCACATGTAGGCAGTAAAAGATGTAGCCTATGAAGAGCATGGTGGCCTCAGGGCTATCTTTATACCAGTAAAGGTATAAATCCCTTCAAGTTAATGTCATAGTGGACATGGCTAGGTCTGAGTTCATGGCTAAGGGACTCCAAAGTGGCTTCCCTGCTGTGTTATTTGCTGACAAACAGGAGCCAGAGCTCTGAGGCTAAGGCCTGTGAATTACTTCACTTCCAGTTTTATCTATCACAGGATAGTTAGGCCCCAGGTGGGATATGAAACACTGAGACATACAGGTAAAGTGTCAGGTTCCCTTGGTTCTCTACATCCAGTTTAGATTTCTGTACTCTGTTTGCTTCTCCCACTTTCTGTGGACTTGTGGGCCAACTTGTGGCCTAGATATTAGGTACCACCGTATGAAGTCTTAGGGTATCTCTTGGGTAAGTACCTAACAAGGACACACATTCAGAAAGCTAAATGTGGCCACCAATGTCTCCTGAAATGAATTAATATTATTAAAAAGACTGTATACTATAATCAAGTAAATTTCATTCCAGAGATGCCAAGGACAGCTCAACATATACAAATCAACAAATGTAACATAGCACACAAATTAAGCACTATAAATCACATGATAATCTAAACAGATGCAGAAACTACCTTGACAAGGTTCAATGTCACTTCACCAATATTTCAAGGATACTAGGAAAGATATATATATATGTATGTATGTATGTATGTATGTATGCATATATGTATATGTATATATATGTATACATGCATATGTATACACACACACACACACACACACATATATATATAGAGAGAGAGGAGATGAATAAAAATTTCTTAAAAAGAAATTGTGGAAAAGACAAAAAAATTGGAGGAAATAAATCTTTTAAAGAATGCCAAGAAAAACATGAGAAAACAAATAGTTGACAGACATAAATAAAAGTGTTCAAGATCTGAAAAGGGAAAAAGAAGCAATAAAGAAAACACAAACTGAGTGAATTCTAGAAATGGAAAATCTAGGTAAGCAAACAGGGACTATAGATGCAAGCATCACCAACAGAATACAAGAGACTGAAGACAAAATAGAACAAAAAATTCCTGACACAAAACAGCCAGGAAATTTAGGACACTATGAAGAAACAAAATTCAAGAATATTAGAAATAAAAGAGGGAGAAGATTCCCAGCTTAAAGGTCCAGAAAGTATCTTGAACAAAATCATAGAAGGTTTCCCAAATTAAAGAAGCACATGTCTATAAAGGCACAAGAAACTTACAGAACACCAAATATATTGGACCAGAAAAGAAAGACCACTCACCACATAGTAATTAAAACACTAAACACATAGAACAAAAAAGAATATTAAAAGCTGCAAGAGAAAACAACCAAATTACACATAAAGGCAGATGTATTAGAATTATACCTGACTTCTTAATGAACACTAAAAGCCAGATGGGCCTGGATAGATATGCTGCAGACTCTAAGAGACCATGGGTGCCAGCTCAGACTATTATACCCAGCAAAACTTTCAATCACCATAGATGGAGAAAACATGATATTTCATGACAAAGTTAAATTTAAACAATATATAGCCATAAAACCAGTTCTACAGTAGATAATAGAAGGAAAACTCCAACACAAGTTTAACTACACCCACAAAAACAGGCAATAAATAATCTCACACCAACATAACCCAAAGAAGGAAAACACACATACACACACACATACACACACCCATCAACAACTACAACTAAATAACAGTTAACTTCATTCATCATTGATATCTCTCAATATCAATGAACTCAATTTCCCAATAAAAAGACACAGATTACCAGAATGGATGTGAAAACAAGATTCATCCTTCTGCTGCATATCATAAACACATCTCAACATCAAAGATAGGCATTACCTTAAAGGGTTTGAAAAACATTTTTCAAGCAAATTGTTCCAAGAAGCAAGTTCATGCAGATATTCTAAGAAAATACACTTCAAACCAAAATTAACCAAAGAGATGGGAAAGGACATTTCATATCCATCAAAGAAAAGATCCACCAAGATGACATCTCAATTCTGAACATCTATGTCCTGAATCCTGAGTACAAAGGAAAAATTAGTTTTCTCCAATGGAGTCTCACTGAGTATACAGACAATGTTTGAGGGTAGCCTAAAGCCCAGCTGTAGACAGACAATTTTAAATGAATTTAATGGTATTTTTATAGATTGTTTTTGCCTCCTAATGCTCTGCCAGGATATATTTTATTTTATATTATGGTTTCTGATTGTGTGGGCTTGGGGAGATATACTTGTTTGTGTGTGTCTCCATGTATATGTGCTTCTCATGATTCCCTTCCCGCCTTTGTTCATTTGCTTGTTTTATTCTGTAATGGTTTGCGTTCTTTTTTATTTGCCTTTCGTTTTCTAAAGAGAGAAAGAGAGAGAGAGCAAGAGGAGGGGCATGGAATTGAGTGAGTGGGAAAAATGGAGGCGGGAATCTGGGAGGAGATGAGGATAGAGGAATCATGATCAGAATATATTGTGAGGAAAAAATTTTTTTCAGAAAAAAAGAAAACAAGAATGTTAGCCAGAATTTGTGAAAAAAAATTATTCACCATTGGTAAGGATATATATTAGTTAATAGCACCCACTAAGGAGGTTCCTCACAAAACTTAAAGATACAATTAGCATATAATACCACTCCTGCATAAATGCCTGAAGGAATTTAAAGTCAGCATACAATAAAATCACTGGCACATCATTTTATTTGAACACTATCCACAATAACTATGTTATAGAATAAGTCTCTATTTCTATCAACATGTCTCACCTCCCCCAAATGTGGCAAATATACCCCACAGGGAATATTAAAACACCAAGAACAAAATTATGTTAATTTTCAGGAAAATTTGTGGAATTGGAGATCATTATGTTAGGTGAAATATTATTAGAATCAGAAAGACACATACATCATTTTTCTCATATGAAGAATTTAGGTTTTAAAAGTCATAAGAAAGAAGCACTGTTCATAACAGATAGATAGCTATCAAAGAAGATAGTGGACAAATAGTGCATGTTACACATGCATTCTACCAACTAAGCTACATTCTCAGAACCTTAGGGCAGTATCTTAATCCAATTCTCAAAGTAAATTAGCAGGAGAAAAGGACTGGAAATTCAAATATGTTTATTCAATCCAAGTCATCATTAAATTAATTGCGTTTCTGAAATCTGACAAATCATAAAGCCAACTCAAAGTGGCATAATACATCTTCCTAAGGAAAATGTAGGGAAAAGGTGACATATATACTATTGGTGGAATGCAAATTAATATGACCATTATGGAAAATAGCACAATAGTTCCTTAAACTACTATTTGGCTGAGTAATCTATTAGTTACATATTCCAGGGACATGGAAATAGCATGTTAAAGAGACATAGGTACCCTCACGCTCATTGCAATAACATTCACGAGAGCCATGAAATAGCAATAAATTAGGTATCTAGTAACCAATGACTAGAAAAAGACCATGTCCTATATAAAAAAATATTATTTAATCCATCAAAAGAATAAAATTCTATCATTTGTCACAACATGGTGGAACACAAAATGATAAGTGAAATAAAGTAGGCAGAGAAAGTCAAGTACTGTACAATATCAACTATATATGCAAGTTGAGGGTAGAATAATGGTTACTAGAGGCTAAATAAGATTGGGTTACAAGCTGGGCAGTGGTGGCACATGCCTTTGATTCGAGCACTTGGGAGGCAGAGGTAGGCTGATCTCTGTGAGTTGGAATCCAGCCTGATCTACAGCTTGAGTTCCAGGACAGGCTTCAAAGATACACAGAGAAACCCTGTCTCAGAAATAATAATAATAATAACAACAACAACAACAGATTGGGTTACAGAAAAGGCTGACAAATTGACAAATTAGTACTATTTAACAGTAAGACTGGAACAAGAATGTCTGGTGTACTATACTACAAAGGAGTAACTATAGTAACAGCAATGTATTATGTATTTCTAAACACTAAAATAATTTTTCATTTTTTAAACCATTAATATCAAATGTCTGAATATATATGTGGACATTGATTTAAACATTAAACAGTATATGCAGCAAAATGTTACCCAAATATTACATACTTTTAAGTTTAATGTTATTAATATAAGAGCATTAGCAAACACGTGGAAAAAGGCACTAGATTCTACATGTGTGATCCAATAAAATCAGCAGAATTCCAAAGTATGCTGGGTGCTAGGTAACACTATCCTCTAAAACATTCTCAAGAATCTGAGGGCACAGCAGTAGCAAGCTGCCTACCTCCATCTGAGACACAGTGCATTCCTATAAGGTAAGATGATTTATATTTATAAAATATTACATTTTGAAAACAGGTTATTTGTTTTGAGACAGGTTTCCACTATATAACTCAGTCTAGGCTTGATCTCACAGAAATCTTGCTTTAGTTCCCAAGCACTAGGGAGCTAAGAGTTTAAATTACAAGCATCTGTCACTATGACCAGATCAAGTCATCTTTAAGAAACCGTTCTAAGTAAAGACATTATTCTTACCTGTGGTGTTGTTAGGGTTGTAGTACTACTCATTGTATCTTCCATTTGTTGTGTTTGAACATCCAATGTTTCAAACTGATGTTCAAATTTGTCCATTAAGGCTGAAATCTATAAAGATATGGTCATAAGAAAAATGTATCCCGAAAATATGCTATCTGAACATAGTATAATGGAAAATGTTTTTACCTTTTCAAGGTTCATACTTCTCAATGTAGCATCCATAGATTTAACTACACCTGCCATGGATTTTGTCACCTATTTGGAACAGAAAACTGATTTAGTAAAATGTAACTGTTGTAATCTTTTACATGTGTTTATATATCAACTGAGGAAAGTTGTCTATCACTTTCTTAACAGTAAAACCACATTCTGTATCTAGGTCTAGGTACTGTCTACTATTGACATTTCTTAGTAGATAGCTAATAAAATGGTTGGAAAATCCACTGCCAGAATAGTTTTCCTTATTAAGTCTCATTTTCCATGAAGTTCTATATCAACACCCAGATATGCTATTTTTGTAGGTCTTCCTACTCTCATCAAAATTCAAATTTTATTTTATTGCCAGATGCTTAGTCATACCTTGCCCATTGTTACTGCAGTTTGAACTCTAGCTGCCACAGCATCAATCCTAGCACTCATTCTCAAGAAATTGATTGCTTGGTTTTTCTGACGGATTGCATTTTCAGCATGTATTCTTGCAACTTCTGTATTGCCTTTCTGAATGGCCTGTTTTAGAGAGAAGTAAAATAGTTTTGAAGAAAAACAGCAAACTAAGACACTGGTGAAAACAAAGAGCATAAGTACAGCTACTTTTAAAAATTAAATGAGAGCAAATTAACTATAGTCTTTTAAGAGGTTTTAATTAGCCTTGTGGCAGCTAATTATTATAATAGTTAAATAACAATTTACAATCCTATTTTCTTTTAATCTCCTGATTAGAAAATATACATGTATAAACAGTTTAAGAAATTAGAATATGCTGGAAATGGCCCCTGCTTTTAATCCCACCATTCGAGAGGCAGAGGCAAGCTGACTCTTGAATTTGAGGAAAACGTAGACCTTGCAAAAAAACAAAACAAACAAGAAAACCAAAAACACAGACAAAACAAAACAAAACAAAAAAACAATAGAAAGAAACTAAAAGTTAAAAATTGCTCCTAATTATATCACCATATTTCCTTGTTAATATTTTAGTTCATACTATCTTAATATATAAATAAATTTATTACTATATAATTTGTAACAAAAGCAGGCACATAGCATACTGTTTTGAATCTTGTTTTCTCTCATGATAGAAACATCACTTTAAATTAAAAACATAACTACACCATTATTTCTTAGGGTTGTATCATACAAATGTCATTGTAGTGAATTACTGAGCATACATAAAATGGTTCTAGATGTTACACAGACAGTAAGCAGTTTCTGTGTGATTTTACTGAATATATATATGAAAAGACTATGTAACAGGAATCCAGCTTTTTCCTGGATCAGGGATAAAGCTAAAAGAAAACCAAATTGTTCTAAAGAAAAAAAATGTTAAATAGTTCAGATAAGACAACAAAGTGAAATAGGTACTACGGATATGACAGAAATTCAAGAATTAGATCCCATTTCTTAAAAATTAGAAATTTTATAACTCTCCTAGTACGTACACGTACACACACACACACACACACACACACACACACACACACACACACACACGTGCACTTGCTTTACACACTTTCCACATGTTTTCATAAGACAAATTCCAGGCTATTGAATTACTGGATGCAAGACATGTATTCAAATTTAATTATTCTCCCTATGATGCTTATAACAATTTTCTCTTTTAGAATAGTACTACTGTTTTATTCACAGGTATTGTTGCAGTCCATCATGGCCTAAGAAGTAAAATGTAGTACCTTTAAATGATATGGAAGCCATACCTGACATTGCTGGGTAACTAGATTAGGCCAGGGACCTAAGGGAAAACCAAATACTATTGTTCTACTGGAGGAATGTAACAACAAAATGTCTCCCAGTGACATTTTGCTATAATCATGGATCAGTGCTTTGCCCAGCCTTCATGAGAGAAGCTTCCTCCTGTAGCAGCCAGGAACAAATAAAGAGAGACCCACAGAGAGATATTATACAGAGAATGAGAGACCTTGGGACACTCAGCCCCAAATGGGATATTTCTATAGAATCCCTCCCCTCAGAGCACAGGGAATCCATTGGAAAAGGAGGCAGAAAGTTTAAGAGCCAGAGGAGATGCAGGAAACCAAGGAATCAAGGTCTTCTAAACACAATACGAATGACTTATATGTGAACTCAGAGACTGTGGCAGCAAATACAAGGCCTGCATGGGTCTGTACCAGATGGGGTGCTACAGCTGACAGAAGTGGACACATTCCCCCAGGCCCAACCAGAAGTTAGTTCCAATTGATAACCACTTGCAAATGAAAAATTAGTATTCTCCAAGGGAGTCTCATTGGGGAAACAAACCACTCTATAGGCCCCATGCTCAGCAGTAGATGGCCAACACAAAACAAAACTCAAGGGCATCTTTGGAGGTTCTTTGTCTTATAATGTAGTGAGGAGGCATTTTACTTTTTTTAACACCTTATAGGTGCTTTGCATATACAGCATGACTTCCGTTTTGTGTTTTTATGGGATACCTGTATGAGAGAATGCATGTGTCTCTGTATCTCTGTGTGTTTCTTGTGCTGCTGCTGCTTGTTCTTTTTTCCTGTTTGTGTTGTTCTATTCCAGCTTGTCTGTTTTATCTTAATTTATTTTATTAGTACTCCTTAGATGCTTGCTTGTTTTCTAATGAGACAGAAATGGAGTGGATCTGGATGGGAAGGGAAGTGGGGAGAAACTAGGATGAGCTGGGGGAAGGGAATCCATAATCAGGATATACTGCATGAAAAAAAAAATTACAAGAAAAAAGGAAAAATCAGTACCTCATTGAATTTCTTTGATAAAAGGGCATTAGGAATATGCTCATGAGTATATGGGGAAAAGGAATTCATATACTGTAAAGTACTCCAGCCTTTCAGGAGGTTCCTTAAAAATTAAAAATAGAACTAGCATATGATCTGGTTTTACTACTCCTGGGCATACCTAAAGGCAGCATTTAATACTGCTTACTATGGTATTATTCACAATAGCCAACTTATGGAATTACTTTAGATACCTACTCTGAGATACATGGATAAAGGAAATGTGGTATTTCACACACACTCTGGAGAGACCCACAGAGATGTTCAGCCATCAAGGGTACAGTTATGACATTTGCACAAAAATGGACAGAAGTGAGCATCATAATGGTAATTTTAATGAGCTACATTCAGAAAGAGAACACAGCAGAGTCTAGATTTACTTTTAAAGACATGGAAGTAGAATAGGGCAGTAGGAGGAGAGAGGAAAGTAAGGAGAAAGGGAATGATATAACCGAGTATGTTGTATACAGGCATGGAATAACATTTTGTGATTTTTTTCTTTTTAAAGACAGAGAAAGGAGGAGAGAGAAGGAGAGTTAAATTAATGCTGGGAAAGTGGTTAGGTGGGAGTATCTGGGAGAAATTGGGAAGAGGAAAATATCAAAATACATTACAAGATAAGCATATAATAAAAAAGAAAATTCATAATGAAACCCATTATCTTTCACATAACATAAAGTAGATTTACAGTTTTTCTGAGTATTTTGCATGCATTCATCTTTTTAGACTTTTCTCATTAAATAGCTATGCATTTTTTACATGTAATGTAACTTATCCTATATCAATGATTAGTATTTTATTTTATATGTGAATATAGTTTTTAAATAGAAGTCTCCTTTATTTATTTTACTGTGCTTGAAATGTAATTTTGTACCTCAAGGTAATTTCTTATGGTTTTGAAATATCCAGTTTTTTAAAAAAAATCATTGATTTATATATTTCTACTACTTTAGAATATTTTAATTTTGATACAGGATCACCTCAAGTTACCTAGGGTGGCCTTGAACTCTCAATCCTTCTGCCTGAGCCTCCTGAATAGCTGGGACTGCAGGCATGTACTCCATAAAAGTTTGCCTCTCATTGAGATAAGTAGCTATTATCTTCCAACAATAATTGCTTCCTTGACTGAATCATTTTCTCGTTTAATATATTCAAGGATTTCTTGTTTGCTGCCTAATTACATTTGTGCATTTTAGCTAATTAAGGATTCCTACAAAAGAAACACCTGTATGTGAATACAGCATTGAAGTGGAAAATAATATCTTGGTTAAAAAGACTTTGTCTTTCAACTCAGTTACTCCCGCTGAGGGCCTAGCATCTAGCAAATGCAAGACAGTATTTTGGGCACTGGGGATTTACTAGTGAATCCAAAAAAAAAAAAAAAAAAATCCCTGGGTTCTTATGGAACATACAATCTAAACAGAGTCTGATAATAAGCAAAACAATTAAAATAGAAAATGGCAAAGGTGACGGGTGTGTTAAAGATGTGGCATATACCTTTAATCCCAGCTCTTGGGATTGGAGGCAGAAGCAGGGCTATCGCTGAGTTCCAGGCCTTTTAAGGCTACATAATAAGAATGAGAGACAGCACCTCTTCCCCCATCTCAACAAAAGAGTAGTAGGTGTCAGGGAGAGAAATGAAGATATTGACAGTAAGGAAAAGGGGCTATGAATTTGAAAGAAAATAAGGAGGTATGTGCGATGACTTGGAGAGAAGGAAAGGGAGGGATAATATAATCTCAAAAAGGTTTTAAATTATTAAAAAAAAGATTAGGCCTGTGATTCTCGCATTTTCAGACTCTGATAGGGTTGTTTAACATAATGACATGTGAGTAGACATGAAATACAAAAAGGTTTCTATCTTAGCTAGAGGAAGAAAGAAAGGCAATCATATGGATATTTAGCACAAAAGGCAGAAAAACACCAGTGAGAAGAGACTGTAAACAGTGTATATGAACAGCAGGAAGGTTAATACAACTGAAGTTTACAAAAAGGGAAATCAGAAATTAAGTCCATAATAAATCAGATGTGGCTTTGGAACCAGTTTTAAACTCTGACATTTTACTTGGAGGTAACAGATCAAGATAATTTTGAGTAGAACACTGACATGATGACTTCTCTTAAAATACTTCCTCTGGTTGCTGTGTTAAGATTACTTTTATGGGTGTTGAGGGATGGAGCTCAGTGTCATAGAGTCCTTGTCTAACAAGAATAATGGTTATTAGGCTCAATTCCTAGCACCAGGAGGAAAACAATAGCATTATGGGAACAGGGTCAAGACAAAGGCTAATTGGAAGCTTGTTTGCAATAACTGAGCTAAGATAAGAATGGCCTGGGAAGAGATAGGTACATTGGACTTGGTGAGAAGTAATCAGATTCTAAATACCTTTGAAAGATTTTCTAAGGCTTGGATGCAGTCTATGGAACAAGAGGTTGAGCACAAAGCTATTCTAAGGCTATTTGTTTTGTCTGAAGGACAGAAATTGCCTTACAGACAAACCAGAAAGGCTGTACTGGAGAATGTGACAGAAGGATCCCTATTTCAAGTTTGATATTTTTTTCCTTGGTCATCCAAGTAGAAGCAATAAAGCACTTGAAAACAGGAGTCTTCACTTCAAGTATACAGGCTAAACTAGAGTTACCCATCACCATTCACGTAAATCTAGAGGACTATGTGAACTCACCTCTGGAGTCAACATAATATGAAAGTAACAAAAGAAAACAATATTAAAATGGACTTAGAGTGGGCATTGGTGACTATGGTTTCTTAAAGGCCACAGCATGAAAGTTTAAAGGAAGGAGTAATGAACTCTGACAAACACTATTAATGACTCTTATGAAATATGGATTAACAGGTGACTGGAGTCGTTTGGTGGTGGCACATGCCTTAAATCCTAGCACTTGGGAGGTAGAGGTAGGCAGATCTCTGTAAATTCGGGGCCATCCTGGTCTACAAAGCTAGTTCCAGGACAGCCACGACTGTTTCATAGAGAAACCCTGTCTTGGAAAACAAAAACAAATAAAAGAACTGATTGGATTGAGCAGTATAGATGTTCTTGGTTTCTATTCAGGTAGAGCTTTAAGTATAAATGAACAAAACAAAAATTGAAGAAGGAGGAATTGCCTAAAAATAGGGAGCTATTTCAAAGGGGTTTGCAAGTAATGGGGAAAAATGCAAGAAAGGCACGGGGACAGAGCCTGGTGGCCAATTGTTTACCTAGTACTAAAACTGAAATAAACAAAACATCCTCCCCCACAAACCCTCACACAAACAACAGCTAAAAGCATGAGAGCATCAAGCGGCAGAAAAGGCTCTCACACAAGAGCTTCAAAAGGTTTAAAGATGGTTGTGTGATAACACAGTTCATTTGGCACACAGTAGAAAACTGGTAATGTAAAACAAAGTGTTATATGAGTAATAATACCTAGACCAAGCCTTAGCAGAAATGAGGAGCAGACTCCCTTTAATTCTTAGAACCATGGCCAGTACATCTATTTTTAAAGGAGGAAAAGGACAGACTATGGCAACTGAGGCAGCTATTTACATTGATCAAATATTTCTCAATGAGTTAGAAAGCAAGAGTATCAGTCAAATTTGAGAATGAGAAAGGGGAATTAAAGTTTACAAAGAAAGAAGGCATGATGCAATCATTGAAATGAAAATTAGAATAAAAAAATTAAGGAAATATATTATAACCAATTACCATATTATTGTGATTCTCGTAAGTCTTTTCACATGTAATAATTTGGAAAGATTAAAAAAAATCAAGCATGCTCTTATGCAGCACTGTTATTGCTAAAAATCAATCCTAAGGATACATTTTAAGCTAATAATAAATAAACTAGTAAATAACAAAATAAAAATGTTTTCATGTAAGCATGACTTAAAACATATTCATCACTGTTCTGTTAATGGTTGGTATGTAAGATGAATAGAAGATTTAAAAAAAATGAACCCAAAGAGTAGCTTAGGGCCACAAAAAAAAAAAAAAAAAAAAAAAAAAAAAAACTGGCCACAAAACTAAAAGGCAAAAATAAATGCTATTATTTATTCGTTTCTGGTGCAAAGCAAATGAAAACTAAAAGGTAAACTCATAGTATTAAATCTGGTTGCTATTACCTATCTCAAACATCATTATGAGTTTTGGACAACAGATAAGTCATTAATTGAGCACAAGTTAAAACCAAGTTTAATGGATATAGTTAATTATTTCTTCCTTACTTGGTCCAAATAGTAAGCAGGTTTTACACCTAACACTAGTCAGGACACAATTTTCATGCCCTTTCTAATAAAAGCATTAACAACGGCTGAGGATAACTGGTTCTTGATTTCTTCCTTAGTAAGTTTGCCCAATTTATTCCCTTTTCCAGGACATTTAATCCTTTCTCTGACCTCTGGTTTTATGAAAAGTTCTCTTAAACCTTTCTTGCTGTTTCTAGTTTTTATGTGGGAATATATAGTAGGGCAAGAGTCCCAGTTCAGCAGTAATAGTATGAGCTTACTAGCAACTACTCAACTCTAGCTGTAGCACAAAAGATATGCAGGAATGAATGTTGTATGTTCTTGAGTATATCCACAGGGATCGAGTGGCTGGTTCTTCTGTGAGTCATTTCCATAGTGACTCAAATAATTTACATTCCTACCAGCAATATGTAAGGGTTCATTCCATTTTCTCCACATCCTCATTAGCATTTATGATGTTTAGTTAATGTTGGCAATTCTGGGCAGCTAAGGTGAAATGTTGAACTTTTTTTTTTTTAATTATCTGCACCTTTGTAAAAAAAAGTTTTATCTCGTGAAACCTGTTTATTTTGTTATGCCATTTATTGCTTGGATTATAAGCCATTTTTAGAAGTTCTGCATGTTATCCCTAAATACAAATTACTAAGGTCAGTACCAAATTTAAAAGTAAACCTTTTGAAAGATAATATCTTTAAGCATGCTATGTTGATTAGGATTTATACCTATGTATTTACATGATTTTATTGTTGGAGAATTCCTCTGCTGTTTCCTCCATTATTCCCTGCGAATTTCTTCTTTCTCTTTAAAGCCACAAAGTCTACTCCACAATGCTCATATGTGCATAAGTATAGGGCTCTCTTCTGGCTCATAGCCTCTTGGGCTACATCCCTAAAGAAAACTGACTCTTTACCAGAAGTCATCAGTTGTATATAGCTCCTCAACTAGAGATAAGACTTTGCGTTCCCCCCCACACACTCCTGACTTCTTTCTTGAGCTTGTGCAGGTATTGTACATGCAGTCAGTAGTTTCTGTGAGTTCCTGTGGCCCTGTCAAATCTTGAATACCTCTATTCAAATTGCCAAGTTATTGAATTGGGTTAGGTATCCACCAAAAGATGGAAAACACTATCATTTTACACACACACACACACACACACACACACACACACACACACACACTCACCAGAGTTTATTTAGCCATAAAGGAGAATGAATTTTTGTAGCCAGGTGGTGGTGGTGGTCACCTTTAATCTCAGCATGTGGGAGGCAGAGGCAGGTGGATCTCTGTGAGTTCAAGGCCAATCTGTTGTACAGAGTAAGTAACAGGATAGCCAAGGCTACATAGAGAAACTCTGTCTCATAAAGACTACAACAAAAGTGCATGCAATTGAAGAGCCTAACAGTAAATGACTATTTTAATGAATCAGTGTAGGCCTATTTTCTCATTTGCAGTTTCTAGCTCTTATATAGATACACAATTCAAAACTGCATATAGGGCATGAAAGTAGAAGTGAGACTATTTGAGGGTAATGAACTAGAGTTGGAAGGGAAATGAAAGTCGTGGCATGAATACTGTCAAAATACATGGTATACCTGTTTGAAAACGTGTGGAATTCATCAGTACATACAATGAATATATACTGATGAAAAAAGTTTCACTATGTCTGAAACGTTTGTGCAAACAGTGGTATTTTGTGTCAAACAACTAATTTCCTTTGAGAGATCTGGAGTTCTGGCATATTTTAGGCAAAAATGTCCCAATGTTACTGATTACTAATAACCCTGTCCCCAGAGTCCTGTGTCCAGAGCGTCTCTGTTAGTCAGTGCTTCAGGTTTGTTACCACTAGTATAAGAAATGAAGCTTCCCCCAATGTAATCTACTGAGAAAGGACACTTGAGACTGAATACCAAAGACTACCCTAGGGGTTTTTTTGCTGAGTCTTATTTTCATCCTTTTTACTATTTCTCTGAGGGAAATTACCTGCTGTGTCCTGTGTCACTTGTAGGAAATATGAAGCACTATACACATTAATTATATGCAATGTTTAGAAAGTATAGACATTAAAATCAGCTAAAAAGACTTCTCAAGAATGAAATTAGCTAAGGACAGTTTTTACTTGCAAGTAATATAAGAATTACACAATTTTGTAAGCTATATTTGCACATATACATAGCAAAATTTAAGCATAGTAAAGAAGGCATTATCAACTATGTAGGATAATGATTTCTCCAAAGAGACACTATACAATTAAGTATCCTATATCTATTTGTACTTCTGTGAATTAAGAAAGTAAAAGTATTCTACCTTTTTTATCTTGGCCTTTTCAGCTTTTTCTTCTTTATCACATTTCTTGGCATTCCTATTAAGTTCTTTTGCAGCAAACTTCAAGTTAAATAAGTGTTCTGAAAACATAGGTTAAGGCTAACTAGTGAAAAAGTCTTTGCATAAAGACCTGCAAACTTCATGTTAAAATCATTTCAAAAATGATCAGATAATATTATAACTTAAGTTAATTAATCACCAAATTTTTAAGGAAAGAGAACAAGCTATTTCTTTTAAACTTCATTTCACCCCAGATCAAGAAGATATAATATTACACCCCAGATCAAGAAGATATAATATTATTACAAAGAAAAACTACTCCGAAGTATCTTTGTAGATAGCATTTTAGCCAATTTTAATGTCATCAGCATGTCAATATTATTTACTCTCTGTATGATGTCTTGAGAAATATACGTCCTCATTAGTATCATGGCATTGTTGCCAAAAAAAAAAAAAAAAAAAAAAAAAAAAACGAAAAAAGAAAGAAAAGAAAAACACCTCATTTGTTATAGACTCTCGAGTGTCAAAGTCATGAAGAGCTGAAGAGCAAGGAACAACTGAATAATTGGCACCAATTGGCGACTACAGAAGACAAGGTGGATGACTCAATGACACACTACTGGAAGGCTCTGAGAAACGATACCAACAGCCCTTACTGAGAGAAGCCAAAGCAAAAATGTGGAGACCTGTAGCAGAGACCATGGTGTAACACTGCTTACCAGCTTGCTCCCCAAGGCTTGCTGAGCTTGCTTTCTTATTATCACCTGGGGCAACCTGCCAAGGGGTGGCACTGCAAAGGGTGGGCTGGGCCCTCCCACATCAATCATTCATCAAGAAAATGCTTGCAAGAGCTGCCTACAAGCTTTCCCTCTTCCCAGACGACTAGCTTGTGTCACTTTGACAATAAAAGCTAAAACAGAAACTGAAGAAAACTGAGGAGAAAATTACCTAACTGGAATACAGATCTGAATTACAATAAGAAGAAGAGAAACAGCAACAGAAGTACCCTAAAATGGTCTTACATTACCTGGAATATTTGGTCTAGAGAGATGGCTCTGTGGCTAAGAGCACTGCTGGCCCTTCCAGAAGAACCAGGTTTAATTCCCAGCACCTACATGGGAACTCACAACTGTCTGTAACTCCAGTTTCATGGGATTCAATGCCTTCCTTTGACTTCCATAGAACAAGCATGAATGCAGATATACATGCAGGTAAAATACTCTACATATATAACAATAAGGTAAGAATAAAAACTTTAAAAATCTGGAATCTTAGGGGAAAAAAATAAGTGTGTGAAAGATCACAGGCCAAATAAATGTAAATTCACATCTAATAAACATCCAAACATCAAAAATATTAAAATAACCCTAAAAGAGCAAGTAAAAGTTCAATTTACGAATGATATGGCCAAACAGAGCAGAACTACTAATTACCAAAGATTTATGGTCATACACTATTCAAAGTGGTAATAGTTTATCAAACTTCCATAAATACCAATAGCAAACACTATAGAGAATCTAGGGTTTGGTTCTTATGTGATACATTTTCACCAATTATGTATATTTACCTTTATTTTATGTGCATTTCTGTTTTAACAACTCCTATTTAATACATATTATTGATCCATTAATATCAAATTCTTAGTTAAGAGTACTATAATTGACAATTGAAAACTTACCTAATATAAAAAGCTTATCTACAAGGCACAACACAGCCTTCTCATACTAAAAAACACTAATCAGCACATCAGGGCCTATAGTTGGGGACAAGTTTAAATAGTAGAATTACAAACAGAAAGCACACAAATACAGAAAATATGGTAGTAAACAGAGAGCAGAAGATACTTTCCTACCTTTCCTAAGTAGGAAATAGGAAACCATAGAGTCCAAGTGTTTACTAATCTAGGCAGGTTTTGGAATAAAACATCATTTATGCTAGTTTTTCACAATTTACCATGTGGGCAAATTTGCAAATACAGAATGTTTTAATAATTAACTTAGCCTCTCAAGAAACTAAAGTAAATCTAACAAAATGTTTGATGAGCTCAGAATTACATCCACGAAATGCTGCTTACATTAGAGAATTGTGATGTCCACTTTAAAGTTTAAAAATGCAGAACATAAACAGATTATGAAAACATTGAAGACAAAGAATGGGGTCAGTTGAATACGTTAAAACCTTTGTACCATTCACAAGTAAATCATTATTCATTAAATTTAACTTTGCATGTTAAAATTTCAAGGGTACCATTAAAGAAATAGTATGCCACTTCCAAAGTAATAATGCGAAAAATAGTGTGAACCATTTATCTACTCAAAGGAAAGCAACAAAATATAATGAATCTAGAGATAAAAGGCCAAATAGAAACTTTCCCCAAATTTGGGCTGGCAAAATAGCTCAGAGGGAAAGTGCTTGCTTAACAAGTCTGATGACCTGAGTTTCATCCCCAAACTGGCCCATATAAAAAGAGTTCCATTCTCAGAGCCTACCTTAAAAAGCTGCACAGGGTGGTATGCATCTGTAATCCCAAAACTCTCACTGAGAGATAGGAAGAAAAGACTAGAGAATTGCCCAGAATTTCTCAGGCCAGCTAGGCTGGAATACACAGTGCAACAGAAACAGTAAGAAAGGCTGACTCTCAAACACTAACTATTTGTACTGTACTGCTACATTTGTACTGTAATGCACACACAAATAATAAATGAAAAAAGAAAGGAAATTCAACAAAGAAACATTTTCAAACTATCATGATGAATAAAAAAAATAATGAAACAAATTATAGTCTGGACTTTAAAAGGCAAAGACAGAAAAAAACAGAAAACACTATTCTAAAATGAGCCATGAGTTTATTAGTATTAATTAAAACAATATAAAGTCAGTAAAGTATAAAGAATTCAGAAAGAGGGCTCATCATAAAAATTCATAACCTGGCCTAATAATCAAAGCTATAAGAAATACACCTATAGCATACCTGCAAATTCTCTCTCTCTCTGTATGTGGAATATACAAGAATACACACATATACATATTACATGAAAGTCAAAAGGGAACTAAAAAGGAGAATAGAAATAATGGGATACAAGAAAATATTGCATATTTTCACTCATATGTGTAATTTGGTTTTAACCATATAAAAATAAAACACGGAAAGGGGTACTATTGAGGGGAAGAAAGGAAGCCAGGCAGGAAGGAGAAAAGAGAGGCTAATGGGAAGCATATGAACAATATACAATGATATATATGTATTGCTATGATGAAATGCATTATTTTGTAGCATAACCAAATTTACAAAACTTATAAGAAAAAAAAGACATGTAAAACAAAAGATAATCTTGCCCCAACAGTTTTTAAATATGCATTTTAAGCATATTAGACATAGAAAATTTATCCATTGGGCCATAAATGAAAACTGAAATAAATATAAAAAACATAACTTAGTATTTAATATATTTGCTTTCTTCATACTTTTCTGAAAGAATCTAAAGTTTAGTAAAAAAATTTAAGTTGTGTTTGGCCCAGTGGTGGTGTCACATACCAGCACTCCAGAGCCAGAGGCAGGCGGATCTTAGTGAGTTCAAGGCTAACTTGGTCTACAGAGTGAGGTCCAGGATAGCCAGGACTGTTTCCCAGAGAAACCCTGTCTCAAAAACACAAAAGAATTAGTTGTGTTTGAAATTTTAGTAGTTATCTACCTATAACTAAAAAGGAAAACTGTCTTCTATATTTAGTATTGAGTAACAACAAAATGACTGGAATGTGATATTAAATATAGTTTATTGGGACTCTCTGCCACAAAGGAAGACTGCAAATTAATGATGTAAACATTCACCACATAAAATCAGGAAAAAGATATAGTAAGTTCCTAAAGACCATAAGAGGGCAAAAACAAAAATCAAAGAGGGGAAAACAAAAATACAAAATGGTAAAAATGTCCAATACTGATTTCCCTCTAAAATCTGACATTATTTGCTGTGTAGTGATTATTCAACCAAAAAGAGGAGGCATAAATAGAATAAGGAAAAGGAACATAATTATAAAGATACTTCAAAATAATATGTTAAGTCAGAACACTTGAAAGCTATTTGTAAAACACTTGTAAAATGAATAGTACTAGATTAATAAATGAACTAAAGTCTGAATTCACAGAATTTCTGATGCAAAACTTTAGAATATTTTCACACTTAAAAAATAAAAGTAACAAGAACAGAGGTGATGGTATCATTGGAGGATTTTGTTAAATATTTAAGAAAATAGCAATTCTTACCATGCAACAACTTCCTTAAGGACTAGAAAAAGGAACATGTTTTAACCTTGAAACTAATTAAAGGCCAGACTCACTCATCAGCAAAGATTCAATAATACTAAACACAATATTGGCAATCATTACAGTTGGGTAATATATGTGCTTCATAATCATGATGGGATCCAGAGACAGGTTAACATTTTAAGAATTTAAAACTATCCATGCATTTTATTAACATTCAAGTAAGGAAAACTTAAGTAAATATCTGAGTATACAAAGGAGGGCCATAAAGACTCAACATTCAGGGAGAATACTAGGTTCTCATGAGAGATGGCTCAGTTATTATTATCATTTGCCACTCCAGCAGAGGACCAGAGTTCAATTCTCAGCACCTGTGCAGGTAACTCACACTTATCTCTAACTTCAGCTCCAGGGGATCTGACTCTCCTTTGGCCTCTGTGAGTACTAACACACATGTAACCATACCCAGACATACACATACACACATTCAAGTAATTACAAATGAATCCTTTTTAAAAATCCCATTAATAGCTGCCCTAGCATACAAAAGTGGTACCAAACTACAGAGCATGTATTTGCTAAGTGACACTATGCTTTTATCAAGTTTCCAGCACGTTAATTACTCCTGTGTGTTGTTTTAGGGAGGTAAATTTGTGACCAAAGAATCAGGTGAGAACATCTGAACTAAAATCAACTTTAGAGATAATTTTATGAATTTAAAAACATAAACCTATAGATGGGTACACATGGAATAACTAATGAATACAGAAACAAAGAAGAACTCAAACGTATCGTAGGTCAGATATTGCATTCGAACTATCACAGGGAATTGTTCAGAACTGGCTTTTAAATGGTATGGAAAGGAAGACCCCCCAAATAACATTTACTACTTCTTTGTAAAAGACAGCATCCTGTTGGTTTCACATGCCATAAATAGATTGCATATGCACTGGCAAGGAACCAATTTAACAATTCTGTAAACCCTGGAGTTAATTCAAGTAAAGTGGCTCTACCTTCCATTGAATCCTCAGAAAGCCTGATTTAACTAATTAGAATCCCCTTGACCTCAAGACAGCTTGGAATTTTGCAGATCCAGGGCCTAATTACCACTTCTCTTGGGCTATCTTTAGCCCCCTTAGTAACCATTCCTTGGCCACCCCTGTCTGACCTAACAGCCTGTAACTAAGAGATAACAACCTTTTGAAATGTATGAACAGACCAGCAGCTTCCACCAGCCAACAGGCAAAAGTGTTCTCAGAGTGATCTGCGGCCTAAAGCTGAGATTTTCCCAATTTGCTGTAACTCACCTAGCTGATGTCTCGACTGATGTACTGTAAAAGGGCCTTGATTTATAACTTCCTTACCTTACTATTTAAAAAATAAATTATACTATGGAGTGTGGGGTAACCTATGTTCCTAGGCCACTCACATTTAACTTCAGAATAAACTATGCCATCCCCTTTAAACTGAGAATGATTGTTTACATTGCCAGTACTTTGATAAAAAAAAAAAAATACCATAGTGTATTTATCAATGCTGGTAAGTTTGATACTAGTGTGTAACTCTTTGCTTTAGGATTTAAAGTTATTCATAAAATCTCCAATTACTAATAGCTATTTTTAAGGAGTTAGCTATTTTTATGTATAATACAGCCCCGGGTGATAGCAGTCCAGAATTCCCTTTTTGAACTCAGAGTATGTCCAGTACTTATTATCTACACCATTGGTCCATAACCTCCTTCAAGTTGGAACACCTAGAAAAAAATCATGGCTACAGACAGTATCGCCAGGAAAAAAAAATGCACACAGTAAAAATCAAAAATGTGCAAACATTTTTAAAACATTTAGTAACTCCACACATTAGTTACCTTGCATTGATATTTATTTTCTTGTTTGTGTGACTTCTGGCCACCAGATCCAAAACTGCCCAAAGATGGAAGTAGTATATTTAATCTCATGTATCTGATATATAGGCATGTAGTTTAGTCTACTGACTTGAATGTTTTCAAAATTTCTAGGCAAAGAGCTAACAATGTTCAAGCTATTCAAATATCTCATACTTCAGTGTATGTACAAAAATATAATTTGGTAGGCACTATGATTTCCTTTTACCTTAAAAATACCTTTGTAGAGTTGAAAGGTCAGATAATAGATAATAAGCTTTCCAAATGAGTCAAGAGGGTGACAGAGGATGTATGCCATACCCTAACTTAGTTTTATTTCCCTTTGGAACTGGGGGGAGAAACAGAGCTTCTGACTCATAATTCAATGCTCTTCACCTTATGATATTATTAAAACTGCGCTCCATTCATTATGTTTTTAAAGGGCAGTAGAAACTGAGCCTGTCTTAGTCATTTATTCTTGTCATGAAATGACCTATCTGCACCCTTCCTCAAAGGGTAACATTTGAATTTTCGGAGTATTTTAGCAAGTTCTATACAAGTTATGTGAGCCAATATTTTCTGTGTGACATAAGGATTAATCCATCAAAAAGTTTAACTGCATTTCTGGTTTATAAACTAATGAACAAGTACTACTGAACAGTTACCTACATTTTATCATTTTGCCACCTTGGACTGGAAAAAAAACCAAATTACTTTATTGTCTCTAAGGCCAACTTCTGGAAGAAGTAAGAATTACAGCAACATGGAGTTGCTGATGGAATTTTAGTAGTGAAAAACAATTTCATCTTCATGACGTCACCAGGCAGCTTTAGTCTCAGCTGTTACTAATTACTTAAGTGGCCACACAGGTATGGCTGATGGACTTAATGGCTTTAGGAATGGCCTTACTTTCCTCAAGCGTTAAATTAGCAGGCAGCAGGAGCAGAAAACCAGCACAGCTAGTTCAGAGGGCTCTCAGCAATTGCTTAACCTCATCACCAATCACCTGCATCCAGAAAAGGGCAGTTCGCCCAAAGCTATTTATCCATGTTGAGCACTGAAAACCTACATCTCCGCCCCTAAATTATAGGCAAACTTCAGCCGCCTCCCCTCTGTTCTGACACCATTCCCTGTCTATTTCAAAGATGCCAAAATTCACTGAAAAGGCAGGTGACAGAAGTCCTCAACAAGAGGCGGTAAGGGCTCAACGATCTCCGTCTGTCCACAGCTTCCCGGACCCTCCCCACATTCTAGGATGGCGGCGGCGGTGGCAGCCACAGCGCTGAGGAAAAAAAAAAAAAAAAGCCAAACCTAGCCGTTGGAGCCTACCCATCCGCGCTAGAGCGCCCTCACTCCACTCGTGGGCCAAAAAATCGAACCCCCTGGGCGTGTACCCAGCCCGTGTCTTCGTCTTTCTCCGGCCCCCGGGGCCCCAGTAGCACCTCGACTGTCGCAAAGGATACTCTCCATGTTCGACATGTTCTCACGAGTTCGCGGCCCGGGGAGCGGGAGGGAGAGCTCGCTAAATATTCGGAACAGGGCAGAGGTGGCCGAAGGTCCTGGGTCGTGGGTAGCTAGGACAAGCGGAAGGCCGAGGTTGTGCCAGGCTTCTGGGTTTCCTAGCCCACTTCCTGTTTCGGTTTAGAACCCGTGGTGGGTGGAGTCCCGCGAGCCGGGGAGGCGGGACTGGGACGATGCCAAAATGGCTGCAGTGAGTAGCTTCGGTTAGGAAGGGCTCCCGTCGCTTGGGGGCGGTGGAGGGCCGAGAGCGAAAGCTTAGGTCCCGCCCCCTCAGATGCTTCACGTGCGCTCAGGATAACTGCGCTTAACCTGGTCCGGCATCCCACCAGCCTTCTAGTTCTTTCTTTTGTCAAGCGGACCTCTGCTTAACCTTCCGCCCTACCTCGTCCCTCAGATTTATACTATCCTTGGCGCCCCCCAACCCTTTTTCTCAGAGCTAAAGTCTTAAAGGATGAAGACAAAGGTATAGGACTTTTAAAGTACTTTTAAAAATTTCTGACTGTAAAATCGAGGCTTGAGGGGTTAGTGTGGCTGCTAATGTTGAGGTTTTAAAGTAGATCTGAGCCTAAGTGTTTTAGGCTTCAAGGGGAAGGGGGGAAAGTAAGCTCAGCTTAAGAGCTAATATTTGCAATGAAATACCTTTTCATACTAGTTGGATTGTTTTATTTTTCTTCAGCATAGATGATGTATGGTATAAAATTAATATAAATTCTTTATAATGGGTGGGAGTGCGTTATAAGTAGTAGATAATGCTTGGCGTTTCTACGGCTTACGAAAATGTGCTGAGGTGAATTTATTAGATGTCTTCTCTGGACTTAGGAAAAGAGGGAATCTTAAGCATTATTATTGTGTTTCAATTTCAATACCATAGAAATTATATGAACTAAGCTACTACTTTGAAAGTTGGTGTAATTATCATAATTGATCAATCTCAGAAGTTCGGCATTTACTACATCTTTATATGCAACCTGTGGAAAAGTGTGTAATGTCATACACTTTTTATACACAGGATTACTTCCTTTCAAAAACAAAAACTGGCTGTAAAAGTGAATATTTTATTGTTTTGTGTTAAGGTGGTTTGCCATAAGTTTCAGACTGTTTTCTATCTATGAACTGAACTGTCGGGGCTTCTTTAAAAACAAAAACAAACAAACAAAAAAAAAAACAACTTTCTCAGTACAAGGCGCTGAGGAATTACAGTATAGAAATCATTTCAAAAGGCAGAACAATATAAAGAATATTTATAGGTTTGTATCTCAGCTTATAGTTGAAGAACAAGACTGATTATAAAGTTTTCCGTGTCAGTTAAACAATTGTGTTTCAGTGCTGAAAAGCTAAGTTTGGAGGATAAAGGTAAGGTAAAGATACATGTTTTAAAGGAGTTTGCCTTAGCACTTATTATTTTTAACATTATTTTTCTTCAGTAAAACCATAGAACAATCCACCAAAACTTAAACATTTCTAGGTTTTATAAAGCTGTGAAGTTGTCAGAGTTACATTTAAAAATAAACCTTAAACTTTTAAATGTTTTCAAATTATAGCATTTCTTGAGGCATCTTCTTGGGATAAGATCATTTTTTTAAAAGATGTTTAGAGACAACATTTGCTGTTGCTATCTTTTAAACCTGTTATATAGTCTGTACTAAACTTAATAGATTTTTTATTTTGTGTAAGGTCTTTGCTGTCTTGAATACCAAAGTTACCCTCGTATTCTTGAATATCTGAGTTTTTATGTGAGTTATTTTTTAAAAGTAGTTTAGCCAGAGAAATTAAACTTCTTAATGTGTATGTGTGTTTAGATAGAATGGCTACTGTTAAAAAAATGACTGTTAGGATTATAAAGCATATTAGAAAAATACAGAAAATACATTATAGCGTGAATCCTTGTATTATGTGTTTGATACATTTTAAATAGTATTTCTAAGTTATACGCACCACAATTTTCTGCATATGACGTACAAAGTAATTAATTTGTGACCTGACATCTAATTTAAGGGAAGAAACATATTTTCCATGAATTCACCTGTGTACACTTAGTATACTCTTCTAACGCTTAGCCTCTTTTCAGAAGCAGACTCTTGTTTGAGTTGATGTTTAATTTCCCCATGTTTTACAAATACTTTTGCTATAGTATTTGCATTTCCAACTAATATATTATAGTAGCTTGCTTTTGTGTTTTCTTATATAAATGAAATATTGTTTGTGCTCCTGTCTTGCTTTTGAGTTCATCATAAAGTTTCTCGGTTGTAGTAAAATGTATAGTGGTGATGGATTCACTTTGCTGCTCTAGAGTATTTCACTATATGAATTTACCATAATTTATCCATTTTCCTTATGATGGTAATATTGATTGTTTTAGGTTGATATAACCTCTATGAATATATGTGTTCATTTAACATATATTTTGATGAAGGGTAACTTTCAAAATGCCCATTGATGTTTGTAAATCAATTTGTAAACTTAGGCAAATTTATTTACTCATTATATTCATATTTCTTTTTGTTTTGGATAATATTGTTTTTTACCTTTCTGGTAAAAGTGTAACAAAACCCACTGCCCTCTTTCATCAAATAGATTGCTTCTTTTTTTATGGTTATCCCTAGCTTCTTATGGGGCCAAGCTAAGTATAAGGATTTAAATATGGCAACCTAAGTCACATATGAATAAGTAAATTATGGATAACTTCATTTGCTTGTGTTTGGAAAGATGCACTGTAATTTAGATGACTTTCTGCTGGAATATTGGAGATGTAAAGAAACAGTGAATACTGTGTCTTAAGATGATTCAGTAGCTATTGTATGAGTTAAAACTGGGCCTAAACAAAGCCAATGTGGGAAATTATAATAATTCATCAGAAAATTGAATGGTTTTCATGATTAATCATGGTTAGTTTTATAATTGAGTTAGTTACATGAATACGCATTTTAAATGAAAATATTTATGAAATAATCTTAACCACTAAAATTTAAATATTTGAATTGATTGCATTATGACAGTGTTTTGTGTCATTTTAGAAAATGATTTTGAAGTGACTAGAAAATTTAATGATTCATTTTACAGCTAATCCCCATTGAAATCAAAAAGAAAGAATGCTCCAGGAATGAGAATAGTGTAGCTTTACACAATATTTCTCAGATTTTCCTTTCCTTGTTAAAATTATAGGTGGATAACCCTAACTTATATGATATAATAAATTTGGAGATGGATCCAAATGTCTGTCTTTTCCTGTACTTACAAAGTAGAAATGAATATTCTAATATATAATCATAAATTCTTTATTGAATGTAATAGCTTAATTTAGATGGAATTTGAACGTTTATAAAGTGTCTCATATTATTTCATTTGATAGTTCATATTGTGTGGTAACCTGGGAAGGTATTATCAACATATTTACCAATAAGAAAATAAGACAAAATAAAAAGAACAATAACCCCCCCAAAAAAAACTTCAAAAAAGATTAAATAAGTTTTGAACAAATAGGGTTGCTACTACTCCCTCTCCTAGGTATCTAATGCAGTTCTTTTGAGTATTACAGCAGGTTGGCTATACAGGAGTGCAGGAGAAATCACAAGTGAGACCACTTCTGCTGATTGCTTTTTCTGCTAGCTAACCATTTACTATAAGAGTAAAATGAACTATTTCAGCTGGTGTGTAGCCTTTCCAGACTCTCTATAGAGAAATAAGTTCTGTTCTAGAAATGCTAGAGAAGTATAAACTGAGAAGTTTTCCTGTTCATAATAGAAAAACATTTTGTTCTGCAGTTTCAGATTTTATTTGCAAATTGTGCTAGCAAAAAACTATTCAAGTAACTGATGAAAGAGATTAGAGCTACTGAAGAGATAAAGCTCTATTTGCTAAAGCAAATAGAAGACCAGATGAAAAATAGTTTAAACACAAGCAATATGGTCAGGCATGGTGTCACAGGCCTAGAAAGCTAGCACTCAGCAATATGGTCAGGCATGGTGTCACAGGCCTAGAAAGCTAGCACGCAGGAGTCAGAGTGCTGCAAGGTTGAGGTCAGCCTGGTCTACATAGTAAGATCTAGGCCAACCAGGGCGACATAACAAGATGATTTAAAAAAAAAAATGACCTTCTCAAAATAAATGGCACTAACAAAACTAATACAAACAAAAGGAATAACTTTGATTGATTAGCATAGGTGACCTAAAAAGAATCATTCATTTTATGATTAGGAAATGAGAAATGAATTCATGAGACAAATGAAAAGTTGATTGTAAGATTACTGTAAATATAAAGGGATTAAAATAACACCAAGTGTTCTGGTCAAAGCCCTTAGTCCCAGCTCTTGGGAGGGAGAGGCAGGTGGATCTCTGAGTTTCAAGGCCAGTGTATTCTAAACAGAGGGTTGCAGTACAGCTAGGGTTGTTATTCAAAGAAACCCTGTCTCAAAAAAAAAATACCCAAAAAGACATGCATGTATTTATTGTGTGTGTGTTAAGATTTCATTCTTGCTGGATGGTGGTAGCACATGCCTTTAATCCAAGCACTTAGGAGGTGGAGGCAGGTGGATCTCTTCGGGTTTAAGGCCAGTGTGCTCTACAAAGTGAGTTCTAGGACAGGTTCCAAAGCTACATAGAGAAACCTTGTCTTGAACCCCCCCCCAAAAGATTTTATTCATACTTAAATAATAAAGGGTGATATTTGATGATCATCTATATATCATCAGAAGAATATTTTTTCAGTAATCTCTGGTTTTCACAGAGCAATCAAGACTTTAAATTTTCCCTCTGTCAGGAAACCATTTGAATACTTGAATAATCAAAATAAATTACACTTTATCACTAAAAGATTTGATTGATTCTTAAAAGATGATATGATAAGAAAGAGAAAAGCATTTGCTGTTATTAGGGATACTTTATACTTGAGAATGGTTCCACATTAATTTTAGAAATTGCATGATTGAGAAATTGTTTAATATAGACATAGATGTGCCGAGAAACCCATTATTAAATAAACCTTTTTCCTTTATTATTTTATCATGCAGGCACCGCATGAAGAAAATTAAGTGGAGAAGTAAAAGGATTTTTT